GGTTGGCACCGGCTGGACCCGCGGAGGGGTTCACAAACATGAACTCGCTGATGTCCGAGACCGGCGAAAAGCAGGAGCGGTAACGCGGAGCTGGGGGTGCCGTGGCAGTCACCTGGACGCCCATCACCGTGTCCCCTTGCTTAGGCTCATAGTGCAAGTGCCCAAAAATGTGGCTGGGAGGGGGCTGAAGCGTGTTCACGCTCTCCACGCAGCAGCCCTGGTTGGCAGGTGCAGAGCCCCGCCGGAGGCACCGCACACCCAGTGCTGCCAGTCCCACCAGTGAAACGGTGGAGATGAGCACTAGGGACACAATCAGATAAAGCGTAATCGAGGGTAAGCCCCCACCATCGGCACCCCGAGCCTCAGAGCCCTGCAAGGCCTCTGGACCCTTCTCCTCCACCAACACCACAAGTGTGACGGCTGTGGACAGTGGTGGCTCCCCAGCGTCCCGGACCACCACCAGCAGTTCATGTGCAGAAACATCTGTCTCCTGCAGGGCCCGCATGATGCGGATCTCCCCGGACCGCAGGGCCACGCTGAAAAGCCCTGGGTCTGTGGCTTCCACGAGGTGATAGGAGAGCCAGGCATTGCGCCCCGAGTCCGCATCTATTGCCACCACCTTGGTGATGAGAGCAGGAGGGGTGGTGGATGGGGAGATTCGGAGCTGGGTAGCCGAGTCCTCCCCGGCCCTGGGGAAATGCACCCGTGGGGCATTGTCATTCTGGTCCACTATAAAAACATGAACCAGCGTCCTGTTCCTCAGGGCTGGGGAGCCACCATCAGAGACCTCCACGTGGAACTGGAGATAGGTGGTTTGCTCATAGTCAAAGGGGAGTTTGGCAGAGACCTGCCCACTTGTGGGATGTATGGAGAGGTAGCGAGTTGGATCCAGGCCTGGATCTGTCCCACCAGCTCGCAGGATGGAGTAGGAGAGGCGGGAATTCTGCTCCGAATCAGGGTCGGCAGCAGTGACTGTAACCAGAATGCTGCCCACGGGGTTGTTTTCTGCCACCAGCACTTCGTAGGACGCTTGCTCAAACTGGGGCACGTTGTCATTGACATCTGCCAGGGTGATTGGCAAGATGGTGTGTCGGGAGAGCGGGGGACTGCCCAGGTCCGAGGCAGAGATGGTGACATTGTAGTAGGCAACATGCTCCCGGTCCAAACGTGTGCTGGTTAGCAGTGAGTACTGGTGTTCGTAGTCCTTACGCAGCTGGAAGGGGAGATCTGGAGACACATGACACTGGACCTTGCCCTGCTCACCAGAGTCCCTGTCTCTGACATGTATTACGGCCACCACTGTGCCAGGGGGTGCATCCTCACTCAGGGAGCTGGAGAAGGAGGTAAGAATGACCTCAGGGGCGTTGTCATTCACATCAGTGATTTCCACCACCACACTGCAGTGCTCCTCCATCGTGGGCGATCCCATGTCCTTTGCTTCCACTTCGATCTCATATACCGTTGCCTCCTCGAAGTCCAGGTTGCCCTGGACACGAATCTCCCCAGTTTGCTCATCGATGGCAAAGATCTGACGTAAGGCAGCTGAGTTGTGGCTACTGAGGGAGTAGCGGATGTCTCCATTGGGCCCTTCATCCACATCAGTAGCATTTAACTTCACCACAAGGGTGCCCAGCGGCGAGTTCTCCACCAAGCGGGCTCCATATGATGGTCTGTCAAAGACAGGGTGGTTGTCATTGGCATCCAGGACCTGAATAGTGATGCGTGTCTTGCTGGACTGGGGGGGAGACCCCCCGTCTTCAGCGGTCAGGACCAAGTGGTGGAAAGCTCTGAGTTCCCGGTCCAGGGCCCTCTCCAGCACCAGCTCAGGGAACTTGCCGCCATCTGTGCGTGCCTTCACATTGAGGTTGAAGTTCTCATTGGCACTCAGGTGATAGGTCTGCAAGGTGTTGGTGCCCACATCGGGGTCCTGAGCAGGCTGGATGGGGAATCGGGCACCCAAGGACGCCAGCTCATAGATGCGCAAGGAAATCTCATCACTGGGGAACTCCGGGGGGTTGTCATTGATATCCAGGATCTCCACCTCGATGCGGTAAAACTCCACTGGGTTCTCGATGGCAAGTTTCAGGTGGAGGAAGCAGCGGGGGTTCTGCCCACAGAGCTGCTCCCGGTCTATCCGTTCACTGACCATTATAACGCCGGTGTTCACATTGACTGAAAAGTACTGAGAATCCGAATCGGACAGTACCTGCAGATTAGCTGCCGCCAGTTTCGCCACATCGGTGCCCAGGTCCTTCGCGATATTGCCCACGAAGGCGCCCCGGGTGAGCTCCTCCGGGATGCTGTACCGGATCTGAGCAGAGGAGCTGTGCAAGAACAAACAGAAAGAGAAGACAGGCGGCAGTCCCAGGGACCGGCCCACCTTCCCTGTCCTCGGCATCCTTGCCGAGTGGCCGGCCGGGGAGCGATGCCCTCCGAGCTCCGGGGCCGCGCTCAGCGTTCGCCGCTCCCATTCATTGTTTGGGGCGGACGCGGTTCGACGGGGGCGGGGAGGCGGGAGGGG